ATCCTAAGAGTTGGCCTGCCCCTTCAGTACTCACACTCTTTGTTCATCATTGTATCTAATGTTCTTAGTTTTCTTAGTTAATTTCAGTGCCCCATTTGACAACAGTAAACAAACAAAATCATTTATTTGAACAAAGCTTCATATCCATACATGCTGTTCATACCACTACTTTGCTTGTAAAGCAGCCCGTCATCATTGACACTGAGCTACAAGCTTACCAACTTGTTAAGGATTAGCACATAACAATACAAATACCAAATTTTAGGTACCTTTTTACAGAAGAGAAAAAAAACCCATGAAAGGGCAACAAAAATATTAGATACCCACCTAGAAAAAAATGACCTTTCGAACGAGTCGATTAAACTAGGTGTTGATTAAACTAGGTGTTGAAGAAGGCTCAAATGACATTAATGGAAGTCAAAAGTGCAGCTAAAGTGGCTAATCTCAAGCAAAATATGGATTAGTTTTGCAGTTTGAGATTGCTAATATCCTCTGATCTAGTGATGGCTGGAATACAGCTTGAACTCCTAGCAATCCCACCTTTCTTTGGAGCTGCAGCTTTGTCTCTAGGACTCAAAGACTTAGCCCTAAAGCCTCCTCTCCCATCCATTCTACTCTTCTTCAGCATCTCTCTCATTGCCTCAGCCTGAAACAAAACTGGATAAGCCCTCCCCAGTTTGTTAAACCTTGCGCAGGCGCTCATGTGCGCGTTCAATGCCGTCTCTTTGCTCCCTCCATGCTTCTCAACTTCCCCTTCCACAGCCTCGGCGCAGAGCCCGCAAATCCACTTCCCAAGAAACTTGTCCCTCATCTGATCAATGTACTCTTGAGTGTACTCCTCGCACATTCCACAACACTCACACCGTGCATCCTCGATCTCTGATATCGGTGGAAGCGTTCCTTGTGTGGTATCTGATGTTATCGTTAACTCCTTCAATTCCATTGATATGTCGGAGATTGTTCTTTGGAGGGCATTGGATGAAAGTCTTGGTGGTTTGGAGAAGTTGCTCCTTGACATTGCCTCTCCATGTGGTGCCATTTTTGTTGAAGAAGAACAAGAAATGCTTGGTTTTTTAAGAACTTGAATTCAGTTTCTGGGTGAAACGAGGATAATCTTCTAATGGTTGTAGAAGTTAAGTGGGAGATTTTGGTGTTATTTATAACAATTGGGAGTATGGAGGAAAGAAGTTTCTGTGGATGAAAGGAGACTCACATGACACTTACCAAAGTTAACGTGAAGAGTCATGAACATGCACAAATCTTCCAGAGATTGATGCCTGGTTGCTTGCCTTTTTGTTGTTTTAAAATAAATTTATATGGCTGCAATTCCACGATGAACACTCTCGTCTTTTCGATTTATTATGATATTGTCTGTTTTCGGTTCGAGTCGTTCATACTGTTGAAGATATTGTCTTTTATCGTTTCTACATTTTGTAATCAAGAACTTTCTTACCGTTCCATTGTACAATACAATATCGAATTAATTTCCCTCGAACAATCTTTCGATATATCATGTCAACGAAGAATCGTTAATTTTATTATAATATATTTGCATGTAAATAGAAATAAAAAAAAATGCATATTATTGATTTTCACTAAAAGTTTACCTTTTCTTTCTACTTAACTGTCACAAGCCTCATCTCTTTATGTCATGTTTTCACTATGAAGTTTTGCTTTTTGGAATTAGTTGATCAATTAATGCAAAGTTGATACTTATTTTACACATTTTAAAAAAAAAAATAATTAAATTTAATCCATATCTATGTAATTAATTATACACCAATTGTGACTTTCAAATTTTTGTTTATTTAATTTTTCTAAAAAAAATTAATAAAATCGGTCATGTCTATTTTAATTTAAAAAGTTGGCGTATAATGTAACTATACATCTCAACTCAATTAATACTGATATTTTCTAAAAGTTATGTCATAGTTTGATTAAAAGGACAATCTCAACCATTCAATAATAAAAACGTTAAGTTTACAAAATCAATTTGAATATAGTTTATTGATTATTATAAATTATCAGTTCTCACTTTGAGCATAAGCTCTCATGGTGGACTTTCATCATCTAACACATTCCCTCGAACAAAGTACGGCTCCCCTTAATCGAAGTTCAACTAAGTTTACGACATGACTCTGATACCATGTTAAATGAACACGAACTTTCCACACTAGTATAATATTGTCCACTTTGAGCATAAGTTCTCATGGCTATGCTTTGACTTCCCAAAAGGCGTCATTAATTCCTTAAATTAGCATACGTGAGACTCTCATCATCTAACACATATATCACCTTAATATTTTTTTTATGAGGCTAACAACAATTATTAACCTATTTTTCACAAATTTATAAATCAAAAAACGTTTATTACTCAGAAATATTGTCACTTTCAGAGGGGGAAAAGGAGGAGGTTTAGAGGTCACGAGCCAGCAGTCAGGAGCCACACAGAGACGCCATATCTGAAAAGCTTCATCTTTTCCAGTTTCCATCACCATTATTTATGACCATACAAAAACAAACACACACCAACACACACACACACACACTGCAAAATATCTTCAAAGGGTTTCAACTTCAGTTCTCAGGTATCACGAAAAGCCAAACGAAGCTTGTTATTAAATGATTACCAAAAGGAACTGTCTACGCATTAAATGAGCGAAGATGAACAAAAAAAGGTGGCTTTTTTTCAAGTGGGTTTGAGCCGAACGAGGCCTACCAGGACTGCATAGCCTTTAACCAAGTGGGTTTTGCATTTGGTAGTGATTGGCCTTGGAGTTTGACATTTTTGGCTTCCCTTTCTATGCTTCTGCTACCCACTAAGTTAAAAGAGATATTGAACTTATACATGTACCAGAGTGCATGGGGATCATATCCTTGTTCATTCTTTTTAGGAAAGTGCAAAATAAGGGTGTCCAATTTCGATTTAAGGTACGAGTTTCTTGAGAATCGAGTAGAAGGAACCGACAAAATCGACCACCATGGTTAATTAAGGAGAAGATCATGGAAAAGTATGAATAAGAGTGTCGAATTTCGATTTAAGATATTAAACTTATCATTTATATTGCCTTTTGGGTGTTATTTTTTCTCCTTCGGTTGAGGATTTCTCGTTTTGAATCCAAGTCGGCGGTAGGAGTGTTAACAATATTGAGGATCGTTGGGAAAGAAGTTTCAGATTGACTAATTAAGAAGAATATCATTGACTAATTAAGAAGAATATCATGAGTTTATAAGTAAGGAGCTTAAACTCAAACGAGACAATAGTATACCACTGTAGAATCAAGTTCTTGCACAAAATTATTATCTATTTATTTATTTCATAGCAAATCCACTATGAAAGAAAATGGAGTGGTTGTTGTTGCTTTTTGCTTACATTCCCATATAACACCCATTTTAATTTCTCAAATCTTGCTTTCAAAACTCTCTTTCCAAATCTCTCTGCCCCCGTTTTCTAAAACTTTCTTCTTGAACCAAGGCAGAGGTTCGAGCATACGTCGCTTGGTCGTAGGCGATGCAAGAACGAATAGCTTAACTTCTACTAGGAATGAGTACCACACAATCGCAAGTCTACTGCCATCAAAATAGACAAGTGGTAAGAGATCCCAAAACAATGATTTTTTTTAATGTAGTTTGGTCCAAAGAAGTGCCCAGCCCACGGCCCAATTAAATGATGCCATGATCACGTTGAAGGCCCATATTGAAAGCCCATTAAACTTACTATTGGGCTTAAATGCTAGTCACGGATCAAAATTAAATTCTTATTGGGCTTTCTACATCCCATCACGGCCCATAACTTTTATAAAAGCTGAACCGCCTCCTTTTTTCTTCCTCCAGATATTACTGAAACAGCGGCTCCATCGAGATTTGATCACATGCTCTATCTTTCTAATCACACCGTCCAGCCTGGCTAAAAGACACGTGTTTATTTTTATTTTAAAAAACTATTCAAAATTATCATTAACGTTGCAACGTGTCAGAAGTTACATTTGCAAGAAAAAATACAATTATACAAATTACGAAACACACGTGTCAAATAGTGTTATATTTACTTGGTCTTTATTACTTAAAAAACACATTATCTCTATTTTTTAAATTAAATTAATAAAAACATCCTAAAAACTTCAAAAATGTTAATATTTTGTTTAAAAGTTATTTGAAAAAAAAAACGTTTAAATTTTCTCTTCAAAATTATATTGAGTAATCCGTTTCAAAAATACCCACGAAATATCAAAATTAAGGGTGTTTTTCTTATGGTGCTTCACCTCTAATCATCCTTGCAGCATTCTCATGGGGGCTCACCTTTTTTTGTCTGAGTGCACGCACGAAAGTCTCATCATGAACATCCTTTTCATTTTCAGATACATCATTTTTTGTTTTCCTCTGTTTTGACTGACCGGGTCAGTCAGCCCTCAACCAACTAAAATATTTCTTCATCAATTCCTCTCACCTCTAACAAGGCAGAGCTAACCCAACATTCTTCTGCTCTCTAAAAAGCTAAAGCAATCTTAGACCCTCTAAGTCGAATGGTGCATAGATGCATTTGAGCTACAAATAAAACTTTTAAAAGTTTAGAATTTTTAAAATAAAATATTAACAATTTTAGAGAATTTTTATTAATTTAGTTTTTATTTTATTAAATATTAGCTTATAATTGGAGTATATACATTTATTTTGGTCCATAGAAAATTAATATTAATTTAGATAAAGTAATAAGATAAAAATGAGAGGCGATAGCATATTATAAAATGGTTAGCTGAAAGTCCAATAATTAATGAATAAAATAATAATAAATACTATACCGTACACCCAACACAAAGCTTTCTTAACCCATACACCCTCCGCTACCCCTTTAAATACCCTGTTTCCGCTTCCCTTCTTAGTGTGTTGGAAAAAAACAGCTCCCATTTCTTCTCTCTCCCCAAAAAACCCTCCAAAACTCAAGAAATCCACCAAAACCCTTCAAAATTACAGACCCAAAAATGGAAAATAACCTCCCCATAATGGCCAAAAAGGTCTGGAATTTGGTTCGTGTCGTTTATTTCCTTCTCCGTAAAGGCATCTCCAAGAGCAAGCTCATGCTCGACCTCAATCTCATGACCAAGCGCGGCAAACTCGCCGGCAAAGCCATCAGCAACCTCATGTTCCACCACCACTACCACGCCGCCGCCGCCTCCCCTTCCTCCTCTCCTCCTACCTCCGCTGGTCAACTCCCCTTCCCTGTCGGCGCCGACGAGTACGAATTCAGCTGCAGCAATAGCCCCGCCTTCCCTGCCTTCCACGTCGGCAAGCGCCGTCGTAACCAAAACCACAACTCCTTCTTCGCGTGTGCTCACGCGCCTGACACACTCGACGATGACGCAGCTGCAGTTAATGCCGTTAATGCCGTTGTCGAGATTCTGAATAACCACACCGGCGCGTCCTCGACACCACCAATCCCAGCCTCCCCTGCTCTCCCCGGATTTGGCCCGACTCCCAGGAGAGTCCGTCAGCTTAGGATAACCGACTCGCCGTTTCCTCTACAAGACGCTAACGCCGATCCGTTAGTTGACAAAGCGGCCGATGAATTCATCAGCAGGTTTTACAAGGAGCTCAGGCTCCAAAAAACCGCCGACGAGAACTGAACTCCGGCGCCGGTCTGAAGCTGATAATTATATATATATATATATATATATATATAATCCTTTTAGCTACGTGGCATTGTTGTTGTCTTGAATTATAAGAAAAATGGAAAAATAAAGTTCTGAGTGTATTTTGTTTATGAAAAAAAAAATTGAAAAAAAAAATTATTAATTATTTTTCATATTATAATTATTCGATTCGATTCCACATTCATGTAAATTCAAAGTATCTCCTAATTATGATGAGAAAATCCAACGACTTAAGTACAATTTTAAGTACAAATTCCTTATCTTTTTTATATTTTAATTATTGAACATGAACAGAACAATAAACATATTATTATTTTTTTAATTTTAAAAATTTGAAATAGCCTCTTCCTTTAAAATTTATTTTTCCCAAAAACAATTATAAAAAATGAAATTAGAAGTACAAAATATCTACCAAAATGGATAACCCAATGTACTTAAATTATATAATTATATATATTTCAATTTTTTATATGTACTGTTGTGTTCTTAGGCGTAGATTTAAATATGACGTCTTTTCTTTATTTTATGACGCAATATCTTTTTAATATATTAAATTACAAATTAAATATTTTGTGTTAATTTGAGATTTTAACGATGGAATTTCATGTTTAGTATCTTCAGATCTGACCCAAAAATCTTTTTTTTTTAATTATTTTTATAAAATATTAAAGTTAGAAATTAATAATAATAATAAATTAGTCCAAGTTGCATAAAATAAATTAAAAAATGGGAATTAATTGGTATAAATGTATGGGGAATCCGACGTGGAAAATGATAAAAAAAAAATTAAGGCGTTTGGGAGGGGGAAAAGTGACTTTTACAGCCTTAACACCACAGCTCCCACTAAGAAGCGAACAGTGGAAGGATCCCACCATCTTAAAGCTTTGATCCAATATAAGCCTTATTACTTAGCTGGCCCCCTCTAAATTTTTTTTTTTTAAATATTCTAACTTTTTTTTTCCTTTTTGCTTTTGTTTTCACTCTCTTGTTTATGTAAAGCCATGACATGCCAACAGATTTCATTTGTATTCTAATGGGATTTGTTATGGCCTTTATGTTTCTCTCTTTCCCTAAGTTTCACGTCCGTTTTACGACCTATTACAAAAATAAGAATTCAAAAATTTAGGTTTGGTTCTCCATTACTCTCGTGTGCGGTTTAGCTTGACACTCAAATTCGCCATTTCAGCCTTTACCATCTCAACCGTTGCTCTTATGTCCTCCAACATTTCAACTACCATTTGAAACGATCTCATCTTAGGCAATGTCTGGGCAACAGAGTCCATAATAGTGTGAAAACCTCTCTTTCGTAGATGTGTTTTAAAAACTGACTGTGATATGTAATGGATCAAAGCAGATAATATGTGTCAGCGTTTGGTTTGAATTGTTATACTCATACTCAAAACCATCTGTTGCTGTGGTCTTGTCTAGGATTTGAACATACCCATAATATTTTATTTGATTAGGGGTGGTATTTAATGTTTTTAAAATGATTAAAAGTTATTTAGGACATGTAACATTACTTTTAAAATTTTTGAGTAAATTAATGTTAGTTTGAGTGAATAAATGGTTCCAAGGGATTGAATTATTGTTAAAAAAAAGTTGTATAAAAAGAGAAAAATTGATTGAGGGGCTGTGAATATCGTACCATTATTGTGTTCTGTTCAACGTTGGAGCGTGATAAAGTAACCGGCTGGGTATCTGATGCATCCCCCCTCCATAAATATCTTCCAATTCCACTTTTTTTCTTTTCTTTTTCACTTTTGATTCAACAAAATTCACTAAATTATTGCTATAATTATTAATCAAATATTTCTTTTTTTGTTTTGTTCTGTTTTAATGTAGAATTGTTGTGTTTTTAGTACAAAATTTGGTGCCTACTATATTTGTTAATTTTTATATTTTATATTTTTTAAAACTAAAATTTAATTATTCTTGGACACGGGTGTTGACGAATGATAATACCTGATTGTCTCGATATTCTCTTGCATCCACTGTGACATGATCGCATTACCTACTCGTCACTTCTAAGAGCGAAAACACAGATTAGTATGCTTTGACCTCACTCACATGTTCCTTAAAAAACTTTTAAAGAGTTTACTCAACATACGATTACTTCAAATTAAACGTGTTTATTTTCAAATTGTAACCAAATTTATTTATTTTAAATACATATATTGCATTATTTAATTATTTAGGTAGAGAAAAATAATAATAGAGAAGATAAATCTATTGTTACAAAAATGTTAGTATAAACTAAAAATAACAAAATTAAAAAAATTATGAATTAAAACATATCGATAATTTAAAGACTCAAAACTAAATAAAATTGAAATACTAAATTTATTTAAACTGAAAAATAAATATTGTATATTAAATTAAATATGGTGTGACATGATGACGTCAATATGATGTAAATTTCCTTTCTTATTGTGTCTCGGTAAACGGGAGATTTTGATGTCGTTTTGATTTTTGAATCAGCCCATTTTTGAGAAAGCTAAAGAAAACGCTGGCGATTTTAGGTAAAAGCATGGAAGCATGGGACACGTGTCGCGTTTTTAACTAAGTATTTGATTGGTTTTTTTACATGTAACACTATGTGTGGCAGCCGCAATTTATTATATGATTTAATTTGATCTTATAATATATAGTTTTTCTTGGCCATAATTATTAAGGGTAGGCATGTGGAGAGGTCACACGGCTGGTTGGCATTTCGTGTGGGATTTGGTTAATCTTTTTCTTCCTATCAAGAGATTTGATTAATAGTCTCCCATACTTTAATAAAAATGACAATAATCACTCTCAAACTCTCATATTATTATTAATTTTAAATATAAAAAAATTGTGAGTTAGTTTAATGCAATTAGTAATTTCACTATTTTTAATTTAGATTCAATTTATTTTTAGTATTTAAATTTGATATTTTATGAGATTTTAGTTAATATGTATTTTAAATAAATATAATTTTTTAAATAATTAAAAAAAAAAAGAACAATAAAATATCGGACAATCGGACCCAAAATAGAGACTTGAGTTGGATTGTGAATTTTATTTGAATTGTTCGAGTCACTAATATTAATATTAATCTAAAATTTTTGGTGGATCGAAAAGATTAAAAACTCCATATCTAGCTGGCTTGAAAAAAAATTAATTTTTTTATTATATATTAAAATACTTTTATTTTAATTCAATAGAAATTATTTACTGAATGTCAATAATTTACTAATATAAAATAATATATTAGATATAAATTAAAATTTTAAGAAACCATCCTTACGAAATTAATTCATTTATTACAAAATTTAAATTAATAGAGACTTTTTTGCCTCCATAATTTATTATAAATAAATTAATAATTAAACACTAAAATAGGCACAACAATTTAATAATAAAAAGTACATAATTTAATCCAAAAATAAACCAAATGAGAAAAGCAGTTGCCATGGCAGGTTCCTCGAAGTTCCTAAAGTATGGAGATATATATATATATATATATATAATAATAATTATTATTATTATTTAAATAATAATAAAAGTAATAATATAATAATAATAATAATAAATGAATAGATGGCGTCTGGAGAGCCGGGAGACTTGCCTACGAAGGAATTCGGAAGCATGCATTTTTTTGGGAGTCTAAACCTAAACCCAATAAATAATAATAATAATAATAAATAAATAAATAAATAAATAAGAGGTGCGTCCTAAAAGAACCATCACAAGTTTGAACCGATTGATTAAAATCCAACCCTTCATTTATGCAATGCCCTAATGATTTTCAACTTTATTTGAGAAATCAAAATTGGTTGACAAAACACCAATTTCAACTTTGAATATTCTTTTTAACATATAGTCTTATGTCACGTCACGTGAATTAGTTCAAGTATGCATTAATTAAATCGAACTTTAGAATTATTGAAATTATGGTATCATAAAAGAAATTAAAAGCCACTTTAATATTTTGGCACATGATATAATTTCATGTTTTCTCAATATTCTATTCATTTTATTGGTCAATTTCAAGTTTTAGATGTAATAATTAGCGTTAAGTGGCCCCAAATTAAAAGTGCATTTTTGCATAAGAATAATTTAATTCTTTTAGAAAAGCATTTTTGCATAACAAATTTTGTGTGTAAAAGAATAAATAGCGTTAGTTATTCGATATATGTTAGAGATTCTATTTAATTCGAAGTATCATGTTTTGTGGGGGATCCACCTCAAATGAGGTAGAGAATCTCTGTTTAAATGATAAATAAAGAGAAATACTTTATATAGAATTAACTTGTTACATTTATATATTCATTCTTATTTAGGTGTGAAATATTAAGTTGTTTATTGATTTTCTTTTTGTTTTTATAAACTAATTATTAAATTTATTGTGATCATTTACCTTTTATGAAAAATTATATTGAAAAATGAAAAATTATCTATTACTTTTTAAAAAATTGAATATATTTTTTAAAAAAATATTAAAAAATGAAAAAAATTCCGTCTGTCTAACTTGGATAATCTCCTTTAATTTTATGAGTGTTAAAATCTTTTTAAATAAGAGCATTAATGTTACTGTCCATACACTAATGTTAAGGTTACATTAAAATTTTTTATAAAAAAATTAAAGATATTTTAAGTTTTTTAAATAAGTTTAAGAATATTAATAAAACTTTCGAAATTTGAATACAATTTTTTTAAAATGTTGGAAAGTTCAAAAGATATTTTTTAAACACTTCAAAACCTATTTTCGAAATAAAATATTAATAATTTTCATCCAAAATAAGATAAAATGCAAAGCTCGCCAGTATTTTTTTATTAATTTAACATAAAATAAAGCTAAAATTTAAAAGTAGTATTAATACTCTAAAGTTTATGGGCAGAAATTACTTTACCTTTTAACGTTATGTTTTAAAAATTCATGAGTATTTGTGGTTAGTAACGATAACAATATCTTTATTTATTTTTTAAATTTAAAAAAAATTTAA